ATATATATAAATTCAAATATATTCAATGTACATTATTAATCAGAATATATTTAATTGAATATTATATATTCATTATATAATATAGCTAATTAATGTTTATTTAATGTTTATATTTAAAATTCATACTGCTCTTGTTTTATGTAAAAAATTAATAATTTTTTATTATCATTTTTATCTGTAATTAATGCATATATAATTGCTTATCTAATGTATTTTTTTCCTTTAATTGATTTCAACTATTTTTTTATATCATGAATTTACATTCATATTTTAATTTAATTATTTCTATCAGAGAAAAGTATTATACTTGCTGCATCTCCTTAAATTACTTAATTTATATTTTCGTTTATATGTCTCAAATTATGTTTAAGTTATATAATATCTACTCGAATCACTTGTTGAATAAATGTCAATTTTGCTTTATTTTAAGAACTCACTTTAATTTAAAAAATATGTTAATATAAAACGTTTGCAAAATTATATCTAGAAGAATTGTAATATCTTGTATAATGTTACATAAATCACAAAATAGATTTAAAAGTTTAAACATTTCATAATTTCAATATTCAGTTCGTTTATACATAACCAATAAGTAATAAAGTACACAAGAGTAACACGGAGACGCCGAGTGGCTCGCCTCTCAGTGTGACTGACTCATGATCTATAGATCCGAATTCGATCCTACTTACGTTCTATACGCGATTTTTTGCGTTCGGCGTTAAAATGTATAGATCAAATGATGACAAACTCTAAGGAATAGAATGCAAACTACCAAATGCAAAAACATAAGCAAGTCTCTGCTCCCCGAAGAGACTCTAAAACTAAATTGATATACATGATACTGTGACTCTCAAAAAGAGGTCAGAAAATCAAATCCAGGGAATATACTAAGAAGCTAAGAAAGTTCTGTATCACATCTGTTATATATCATTGAAAGAAGAATTTACTCATTTGACATTATTGGGGCATTTGGTTGATTTATAACATAAAAGTTACATTCCGTCTTTAAATGATAATAAATTCCATAATGTTAAAAAGGTCAGTTCTTCTTTTTTTTTCTTTTGTTAATTCATTTGAATGTTTCTTTATGATAACGAAAGAAAGGCTTAGACGAAAAGATGAATTTACACATTTGACATCATGGAATCATGTTACCATAAAAGAACGGCTTAGATGGATAACGTCTCGTTGTTATTAATAATTATATTTCAAAGTATTGTCTATAGACATTATATAAGAATAAGAGGAACACTTATCATTGAGGCCAATAATATATGTACAAAACTTGTTTTCTAGATGCCAAACTTTTTTTTAGAAATAGAAAAGAGACCGTTTGATCATGTGTTCTTAGTACTTTAAAGAAAAGAAATACAGGACACAAATTACTCAGAGATGCATATTAAGGGTTAAGAATAAGTGTACACTATACTCATTCACAGTTCGACTACAAAGAACAGATCTTACAGTAATTTAGATTTCTGAGATATGTTGGATGCAGCAAAGAGCATACCCATTCGGTCCCACAAGGCCATATCGTCTACCCTGCGCTATAAGCAAGCTGGCGTTGGTGAAGAGCTCCTTGCCCTTAGCCGCTATGCTAAAGTTCTCCACCTTAATGTCGACCGCATTATCCAATTGCTGATTACCGCGTTGCTGTGTCTGACTCTGCGAGATAGTAAAGTTAGACTCTAGCTCGCTGTGACCTTGCCCACCTGCTTTCGTCAGCATCTCCATCGTCCGCTCGTACTCTTGCTGCTTCTTCAGCTTCTTTTTCTCCTTGTGCGTAAGCTTCTTGGTCGGAGTCTCCTCTTCGATCTCCACGTCCGCGAGTTTTGTCGCGACTTCGTCGGTCGCGATATCATCAGTCGCGACATCGTCGGCCGCTCCATTCTCGATCGCGTCGATCTTCTTGTTCTTACCTCTAGTTTTGCTCGACATCGCTTACGCGATCGTCCGATCTCCTCCGCGGCTCGTACGATTGCCAGCTGCTCGCACGCCTTAACCTAACCTTACTTTTTCCGCGTGCGCAGCACATCTAGCGACAGCAAAGAGGGCAAGATGAGAGTGAGAATAAGAAAAGATGGCTCTGTTGAGATGTGACGTCATCATACATGAAAACGCAACATTAATTTTCAATGTTGCCAACTTCGCTTCTTTTTCTTTCACCGACAATCAAGTAAGCCAGGCCTATTTTCGAACACAAGTGATGTCCACAGCTGATTCTGAAAATTGTGTTTTTTACGGTGTTATTTTCGATGACAATAATGTCAGACAGCCGTGACATTTCGTGATTAAGTGTCACCGGCTTGTCGCATAGAACCGAAGGTTCTCGAAGATGATTTAACTAATCCCGTCCTTTTTGATGCCCGTCGGATTACAACTTGTGCAGGTGGAATATCCTACGTGTGTCATTTTGTCATTATTTGAGTGTACTTGAGTATCGAAATCGCGAGCACCAAGTGAGTTGCAAATCAAAATGTAATCCTTCTGTGCAAGGCATGTTCTCCAAAGTAGATTTAATACTGTGTCATATATTTTTATATGGCAAGGATAACCTTTTCTTTTGTCAAGGCAAGTTCATTTTATACTTTACACCATTTCGTGCGTCTTGCATATTGCAACAATCAATTACTGCGCATTCGTCTTTGTCATCCTTACACGTATAGTGCCTGTCAAATCATTTAGTGAATTCGATCACTCGTACTACATTGGGTTAATATTCTGTGGATTAACTGCAGAGATATTCCATTTAAATGATTAAGAAATGACAGATTCTTTTCATAACAGTTTCTGCTGGCAATTTGCTGACATGCTTTGCTGGCAGAACAGCTTAATGTATAAAATACATTGTATCTTAATATCGATATTAATTTACCACATTTGGCTCGAATCTGTTTATAAATTGCTAATATATTGGTATTTTATTTATTAGATAAATATTTAGCTTTATTGCTCTGTAAGTTACATCCTGTTAATATTTTGTTTAGTTATATATTTAGAATCGTACATGTTTATTCATTTTTATAATGATTATACTTAATATGTAAATACAGAATAAGAATTAAATAACTGCAGTTATAGTTAAATATATAAATAAATATTTATTTTCACTTTTTAAGTTCCCATTCTGTTCCTTTTCAAATTATTATAAGTATTGTAAATGGCTGCATTCAGTAGAAAAAGCAACTTTGCAACTGTAAAATTCTTGAATATGATTGGTTTAGACATTTAGATCCAGTGAGGAACTAAGAGCAAGACCAATCATATTAAAGAATTTTACAATAGTTGTAAAATTGCTTTTTTTGCTGAACGCAGCCATTATTATTTTAATGTGGAACGCGTTATGGATTGATCTGCAATCTATCTTTGGATATTTTAGAAATAGAAATAAAAAATAATGAAGTATATTAATTACTAAATTAATTACTAAATTAGCAATATTAATTACTAAATTAGGTTTAGAAATACCTTTCGTAGCTTCGCTCATGATTACAGAGTGCTGAGCATGGCGCGGGAAAATACAAATAAGTTAACAAGAGAAGATTTTGATGCTGGTCCATGCAGCTTTGATGAAATCGAGCCAGGCTTGTTCCTGGGTAATCTCACGGCTGCTACAGATGTCGACTGGCTGAAAGAAGCTGGAATAACTCATATACTAACAATAGATTCATGTCCGTTGCCAAGAAAGATCCAGGAGCGTCTCCCGAATTTAATCATAAAGTATATACAAGTGACGGATATGCCGCGAGAAGATCTGCTAACACACTTTGAAGACTCCTATGATTTCATCGATCGTGCCCTTGACTCTGATGGCAGGGTATTGGTGCACTGTTACTTCGGCGTGTCGCGATCAGCTACCGTAGTGATCGCGTATATCATGAAGAAGCACGAGTTGAGTTTCGCGGATACGCTCCAAGTGATAAAATCAAAGCGTCGCTTTGTCGCGCCAAACCCTGGCTTTGTGGCGCAGTTGCGACTCTACGAGGATATGAGCTATGGCGTCGACAGTACTAATGTGCAGTTCAAAATGTATCGATTGCAGATCGCCGCCGACAAGGTGCGCAAGGCTCGCATTCTTCCCCAGAGCTGCGTCGACTTGGTAAAGCCTGATCCCGCGCTGACAACCGTGCGTCCCGAGCCGTCGGTTTATCGTTGTAAGAAGTGCCGTCGCATCGTAGCGAGCGCCAGCAACATTTTACCTCATGCGCCACGCGAGAAGCAGATCTGGCGGCATATCAGTGCCAAAAGCACCTCCAAGGACGGCGAGAGCTGTGACAAATTGATCCAGAGAAGAGACGAGTCGGCGCGAGTCGAGTTCTGCGACAAGATTTATTTTGTAGAACCGTTGGCCTGGATGCCCGATATTACACACAACGTTGAGGGTAAATTAAATTGTCCTAAATGTAATACAAAACTTGGTTCGTACAGCTGGATCGCCGGCAGTCAATGTCCCTGCGGTAGTAAGATTGCACCAGCTTTTTATTTGGTGCCATCCAAGCTCGACTGGAGCAATGTTGTGCAGAATGTCCAAGTAACAGTATAGTATTAAGGAATAAAAATATGTTGAAAATACCAAAGCAATTAACTTTGGATGAATTTATGGGGATGGAATATTGAATTTTGTATTCGATGATAAAATTTTCCAAAGGTTTTAAAGTTCTTGATGTGCTAAGGCAATACAAATCAAGAAAAATAACGTAAAGAAATAAGCGTTGAGTACTTTTTAGACGCTATAATGTTTTGGATGCCTCATAGGCATCCTTTTGATGTTTTTTGAATGTTTGTCTTGTTAAATTATAATATCACATTATGGTCCAAGATGATTGATGTAGATATTGATATTTATAACCTTCGGCAGATAATATACATCTTTTTAAGCTGTTAGATTTTTTTAAGTCTCAGTTATTCTATATAAAATATCATTCAATGTAAAATTTAAAAAATCCATTAAAAGAAGAATTTTAATCATATCACTTTATGAATATGAGGTCTTGCATTATTTACCTTTAATTATACCAGCATTTTGTGCTAGAGATTTAAAAAAGCTTCATAATATCTGCTGAGGGTTGAGAATAATGCATTTTAAGAATGAGATAAAATACGGATACGATCAATATGTACGCCGATTGACTATATTCTAATCCTGTGCCAATATATTTCGATATGTGTACATATATACATGTATTTGTTACATATATCTATATGTTGTGTACTTTTCTGATTATATATAAATATGTATATATCAGTGAGAAAACATACTCAAAGATGTTCTCCGATCTCAATGTTTTTATTGCACACGATGTTGTCTTTATCTATACCGTCTACATATATCTATGTAAGGCCGTAATTTCGTGTAGAATATCGTTTTCTGTATTCTGTATTTAAAATATTACGATATTCTAATATACTTCCTCATATAACTTAATATGTTACTCTATCGACGGGAAAAAGAAGCGCTATAACTTATTTACTCGTTACCCTGTATGTTCAAAACTTACAGCTTAAACTTGATCTAATTAGTTAATCATTATCATTAGTTATAAGGCACACGATCAACGTTGGACTTTTACCTGCGATAATCCTTAAAAAAATCAGAATCCCTCTTTGCACATAAACCCTAGGGATGCCAGATTCTGCGAGATCATCTTAAATCGACTATCGAATGAAATATATTCTTAACAGTCAAGCTTATCTTTGGTTTGGACGATTCGAATTTTTTAGTCATTTTTATAAGATTTCGATAAATGATTCTTCACGCGTTTGCATCACATCGTTTTTCCAGAATGATATTGGAACAATTCGTCTGTTCCGCAAGAAAAGAAAGTCGTAAAATCATAATAAATAAAATCATAATAAGTATTCCAGTCTTCGTGAATTTATAAATGAAGAGTCATGTTGTGACGAAGAATCTAGAAATAATTCCTAAGAAACAATTCGCGCATGTGTCTTATGTAAGTCTTATAACTTCGAGAAGAAAGAACATTTTTTTTTATACATGAAAATAACGATTTTGTTGAAGTATCTAAAAATTTAACTAGATAGATCTGAAAATAATTTTGTCAAAATAATTATGTAAAACGTTCAAGCGTTGATGGCAATGCTACAAAAAGTTTTAACATTCTAGCAACTAGTTTGAACATCCTACATAATTATTTTGATGATCCAAGAAAATGATTTTCGTATCTAACTGAATTTTTAAATATTTCAACAAAACCATTCTTTCCGTGTACATATATTTTTTCTTCGAAAAATATCACTCTTTTATAATTTAAGGCTCCTAAGTAGTCACTACAGCCATATTAAATCATGACATCAGAAGTGAGAAATGATACGTTATGCCTCAGTAAATAATCATAAAAAGTGATAAAAGGCACATGTAAATAAAACTAAGCAGCATACGCGTTGAATAAAAACACTATATGTGCCTTTTATCACTTTTTACGATTATTTATTGACTATTAGGGGGGATAGTTTTTCATTTTTACAAATGTTTTAAAGCAATCTCATCATTTTGTCAATTGTCTCTATAATTTTCAAATTGTCTCTATAAATGGCACGTAATAAAAATTAACGTGTCATCTCTCGCTTTTGACGTTACGATTCAATATGGCTGTGATGACTACTCAAGAGCCTTAAGTCTGATTTCGGAAGCTTAAATTCTCTCGATCTAAATTACATATTCAGAGGTCTAGTGTTACATTCTCGTTTTGAAGATTCGATTTCTGGGGGACAATGTCACATACTCGCGTGCATTGCTGGATATGTCGAGCTGTAGGGATGCGCTCGCAGCCTCAGGGCGCTCAGGCTGTTGACGGCGGTTCCGTCGAGGGTGCCGTGGTGCATGTCAGCCTGATGATGATGGTACGGCGGCAAGCTCATGTTCGCCAGGCCGCCGTTTGCAGCGAAGCCATGACAACCGGCGGTCGCGGCGGTTTGCACCGCGTAATGCTGCGGCGTCGTTCGCCAATAATCGCCGTAAGAATACTGCGCTGTTACTTGGGTGGTAGCAGTTGCGCCCTGTGACGATTCCGCGTTAGTCTCCGCCGGATGCTGCGGAGGATGCGACACCCGGATAGGACGTAGCGGTAGCGCGGTCTCTATTTCCCTGCCCGCGGAGACACCTCGGCTCATCGCCGAGCTCCGCTCGTTTCGCCGAAATTTTGCCCGCCTGTTCTGGAACCACACCTATACAAAAAGGACAACGATAGTGCTTTACTGTGTTTTTATTTCTGTTGTCAATTTTTAAAGAGTGAAATCCTTTGGTATTGAAAGAAATGGAAAATGTTAAATGATTCTCTGCACACGAAATAAATGATTGCATTTTTATAATTAATCAGGATAACAAATGATTTAAAAAATCAGGTATTTGCTATATTTGCTATTTCTAAAAAATGTGCTATTTTTTAAATTTTATTCACTTTCGTTTACTAAGGTTTATTTTTAGAAACAACAGATATTTTGTTTTTTTTTTTTATCTATTATCCTGCATATTGGTCGCGCATATTCTTAACAAAATATGAACCAAAGTGTTAAGAATAATATTGCGATTTTATTGCTATGAAAGACAGATATTTGCGCGACAATAAAAAATAATTTTTAAAAATAAACTATAGAAAAAAATGAATGCGCAGTTATTGTCACAAATATATCTAATGCAGCTAATTATAAGTAAATTTATAAGTAAATTTAATTGACTCAAAGGATTAACACTTTTTAGTTGTGCATGCGTGCTTTAGCATTTCTTTAGGATAGTTTACTCATTTGCAGATCTTAATTTTAATCATTTATGTGTATATTTATTAATTTAGCTCCACTGATTAGCGCTTCATTAAATTTCTTATGATCTCTCAAACGAGTATCCGTCTCTCAAATGAATTCTATGAATTGAAGTCTTAGAGTATAACTCAAATAAATCCGACTCAAAGGGCCATGCCGTCTTTTAGGAATATCTTCGAAGAAAATCTAATGGATCCGACATGTCCAACTATCACAAATGCTCCTCATCCGGCATCACTCACGAGAAAGACCAAGCCATACCATAAGACAAATAAATACGATTTGAAGAATATGCTCTTCGTCAGAGAATCACCTCTTTTCACGAAAAACCTTCATTAGAAATACTTGATCTACTTTCTCACGTTATTGACGCTTCTCATCTTACGTTATTCCAAAAATCTCGCGTCTTCGACCGGGTTCGATGGAGACGCGGAGGGAAACAGGGGAACGGAAGGACGCGGCGCGCCGACCGAAGACGGGACAGCGTGACGGCTCCTGGCAGGCGTACCGACGACGCAGACAGACGCGTATACGCGGCATGGACCGCTGACGACGGCGACGACGACGCGAACACGTGCTCGACGCACGACGCCGAAGCGCGCAGATGCTGGAACGTGCGTCGCCGTCCGGCTAATCATAGCTCTCTATCTTTCTCTCTCTTCCTCTCTCTCTCTCTCTCTCTCTCTCTCTCTCTCTCTCTTTCTCTCTCTGCTCTGACAACCTGTCTCCTCCGATTTTCTGCCTAGCTGTCCGCGACCTCCACCTTCCGCCGCCGGCCTCCTCCTCCACCTCCTCCTTCATCTTTCTTCCCCCCGTGTTACTGACAACGCGTTGCGTTCGGTACAAGAGCCTAACACATGTGCACGTCGTGATACTTTCTCGGACAGCTAGTCTTCTCGGTTACCGAGTGGAAGACAGCTTCAAAGAGCGGTCCGCTCGTTCTGTGGGTCGGTTGCTGGGTTGGTTGGCTAGCGGTTGATGAGCGTCTCGAAACGGCGGTTTATCGTTCCGCCACGTTCCATCATCCTAGTATAGGGTGAACGAGATCGAACATCATTGAGAATGATGCCCTTTCGATGTATCCCAATATGACTTTCTGTTTATTTAATACTAATATTTTTTAGATTTCTATAATTTAATTATATATAAAGTTAGCAATACGACTATGGCATAAATGTGTTTATTAATCTAAATTGCAAATCTATTGCATAGAAAAAGGTGACGATGCATCAAATATTTGTCGGACCATTTGAGGAAATAATTCCCTAATTGCTTCAATTCGCATCAAAACATTTTCGTTATTCATAAGCTTCATAAGTTGATATAATCGCTAAAAAGATCGCAATCCTCAAATAAAATGTTCATTGTACGACTCATTCTACATTTTGGAAAATAGAAATATTAAAATAAAATAAAATGGAGCAAAATTTTTTATTATATTTTAAATGTAAAAAGTAAGATAATAAATCTAAGAGAAATTAAATGAATGATTTTCTTATAAATATCTAAACAAATTATCTAAACAAATTTGATATTTGTTGAAAATTTATGAAGAAATTTATTTAAAGAAAATATTTATGTTTGCATTTATCCCGAGCTACTGTTGGATCTATTGGAAGATAGAATAGATTGCATTACCTGCACTCTAGCCTCCGACAAAGACACCCTGGTCGCCAGTTCTTCACGGACGAAGGCATCCGGATAGTGCGTCTTCTCGAAGACTCTTTCCAACGCGGCCAACTGTTGCGCCGAGAAGGTAGTCCTGCTTCTCCTGGGTCTTCTGTTCCCAGTAATAGAAGAGGTCTCGCTGCAATCTGCGAAACATAGTAATCAGCAATTATCAGTGACATTTCGTTTCTCAGCTTTTGAAATAATTGTAAATTCCTTTTTTTTCTTTCTGATAAAATTACGCATTTTTCTATTAAATATTTTTAAGTATTTAATAGAAAAATGCATAAATAATTTTAAGTATTTATTTATACTTTCTTTAACGTACTATTATAACATGTATATTCGTATTCTTCGTATTCTTCTGGCGGAGCAACATACGCGCGCGAAAAATATATAAATATCGAAATATATATTTCTAGCAGAGTTGGGTAAGTTAATGTTTTTTTTAACTGGATAAAGTTAATAGCTTTACAAATTTAATAAAGTTAAGTTGAAGAAATAAAAAATTAACTTAACGTGAGTTAAGTCAATTAAATTAAGTTGAAAAAAAAAGTAAATTTTGAAAAAAATTATTTTTTAGATCAAAATGTCCTAATTTTTCTTAAAATGAGATTAAATAACTATATAGATTATTAAGTAAATTAAATTTTAAATTTTTTTTTTATTCATATGTGATATAAATATATAATACATAACGATATAACTATATAAATTATATAACTTTAAAAAAACAGCCAGCACATAGAGAAGATAGAATAATCAGTGATTACTTTTTAATAAGTCTTAAGCCATAAGAAATTAACTAATTACAATCGAATGCGAGAAGAATATTTTACTGTAATTAGTCAATTTCTTATGACTTAAGACTTAAAATACCTATTGTAGATCCGGACTAAGGCTTATGGCATAACCGCATAAACTAATCAGAGGACTGTATTAGCATCTTAAGAAATTACTTAAAATGGTCTTAAAATATGAATAGATTATGAATATACGCCCTTAGTCTTATTATATCTTATTATTTTTCTAAGATATTTAAAAGAGATAAAAAATTTTTTAACTTAAAAAAAAAGTTAAAAAGTTAACGTTTTAAAAGTACTTAGTTAAGTTAAAATTTAATGCATTTAAAATTAATTAAGTTAAGATAATTAACTAAGTTAAGTTAAAAAAGTTATTAACTTTTTAACTTCTTTTTTTAACTTTTAACTAGTTACTATCCTGATTTCTAGTATAATTGAAATATCGCAGAATATTATCTTATTTAGAATCATATTTTCGCGCGTAAAAACGTTGCTGCGAGAAGAATGCGAAATTATTTTTCTCGATGGTCTCTATCGCAACAGTGAAACGTGCGGTTTCGAAGATGCCGCTTGCGATATCGGCGGCCTATACCAAAAAAAGGAAAAAGAGAAAAAAAGAAACGCACGCGCGCGGGTCGACTAACAGCCGCAGCCATTCTTTGAATGACTCCACTATACTTGGGCATTCATCAAAGCGGTATAATGCGAGCAGCATGACTGGAAATGCGCGATTTCGATGAAATCAAGTGCGTCGTAAACCGCGGATTACATGCGAAGGGACGTGATTAAATCACACGCAATAAGAACTGCGTTCGCATGCTAGTGTAATGCCATTTTCCGTATTCCATAAAATTCCCTTCAAATAAATTGTCATAATATACATATATACATACATTTACAATTCAAAGTTATAATTATAACTGAAATTTTAGTTACAAAACAATAACATCGAGTAATTGTGTTAATATGAATAATTAGGGATGAAAATAATATAACAATTTGCAGTTTCTTACTCGCAAATTAGTATCAGGAAGCTTTCATTAAAACTTCGTTAAACTTTATTACATGCTTAATTAATAATAATTAAATATTTGTGTTATGCAAATATCAATTTTTTGAATATCAATTTTAAATATCAATTTTTCATATCGATTTTTTACTTATTATTGTTACTCTCCATTTATATAATTTGAACTTTTTTTTTGGCACAAGCAAAATTTTTCCGAAATAAAGAAGGGATTCAATTTCCCTTCCTAAAATCGAGAAAATTATTTGATAACATAGATGTTAGAGATGATAGAGATGTTGAAGAATAACTCTAAATTATTCTACAATTTTTGAAAACCTAGAACAGTTGGACTCGACAAAAAGATCCAGATTGCAAACGGAAGGAGTAAAAATGTGATTGAAAAACGGAGAATTAATAACAGTCAGATAATTAATAACATGTTCATAATGTAAATACAAAATACTAGTTTTAATATTCCTTACCTAAAGAGTGCGTCGGCGTGGATAGCAAGCGTGAGACCGTAAAATCCTGTGGAGTGTGCGAATTAGCTAATTGTGACATTATCACGCTATTGTTCGCGCCTTGTTCCGCATCCGTCGCAGCTAACATTTTTTTCACGCACTTTCCCTCACGTCGGCATGACAATCAATACGAACCCATTACCAAGTTCTCCGCTTTTCTCGCGGAGTCTTCAATTTTTTAACACATCCTTCGTTTTCCGCGTATTTATATCATCGGCCGCGACGACGCGAACATCGTCTCAATTTCGCGAGATGAAGATCTCACCTGTGAGGAAGAATGAAATTTCTATACAATTAGATTTTAATTAACAAAAAGTTATATTTTTACTATTGTCATTTTATTATTAGCATTGAATTGTATTACATTATTCAAATACGATGTAATCCGTCTCGAAACGAAGCCGCGACTAAACTTGCGGTTTAATTTCATGCGACATGATTATTCAGCCGAGATCTCAAAATATCAGCCAGAAATTTAATATTAGCGAGGCTCGGAATTGTAGTGGAAATTCAAAATACGAGAAGATAATCTGGACGAGCCAATACGCAAATACGTATAAGATGCGTATGAGATGAATTCGAGATGTATGTCAAGATGTATCAAGATACGTGTTTGTATTGTTCTAGATTTTGAATAATATTTAAGTAAAATATAGTTTACAATGTAAATATTGCGAGAAATGTAAATATTGTATGTCCACGTGCTAGTGTTCTAGCACGATGTCAAACAAATTTTCAATGTATAGTAATAAAACTAAAGGGAAACTCTTGGGACACCATACGAGGAACCTTTTTATATAAAAAGCAGTAATATTTTTCCATGTAATTTTAATCTCTGTCTGTTTATACATTATGCATGCCTGTATTTATTTATAAAATAGAGTAAAGGGAAGAAAAG